GCAGGAACTTGACTGAGACTCCTCTTCCTCACTGTCTGCCCTGGGGGCACAGAACAGGACCCCCTCTCTCCTTTCTATTGCTCCTTTTGCCTGAAGGCTTCAGGCAGTAGGCATTGGCTGAATTGGACTAGATGTGGGTTAGACCCTGTGAAGGAGAAAGTGGATCACAGCAGGACCTGATGTAGGGTTTAAAGGCATTGGAATCCTCTGGGGTTGGGGACAGTCAGGCACAAAAGGAATGGGGTTGCAGACGGTACCGTGATCTGTAGGCCAGGCTGAGGACAGGCTTTGTTAGGGAACTGCAAATCAAAATCACAGTGAGATACCACTTTAAACCCATCAGGATGGCTATAACAAAAAAAGAGGGATGATAAGTATTGGGAGGCTAGGGAGAAATCAGAACCCTCACACACTGCTGGTGACAATGTCAAATGGTGCAGCCACTTGGAAACAGCCTGGCAGTTCCTCAACATAGAGTCAACATTTGACCCAGCATTTCCACTCCTAGGTATATAACTAAGAGAATTGAAAACACATGTCCACATAAAAACTTGTACATGGATGTTCACAGCAGCATTATTCACAATAGCCGAAAGGTGGAAACAACCCAAATGTTCATCAACTGATGAATAGGTCAATAAAATGGGGTCTAGCCGTACAATGGAATATTACTCAGCCATAAAAAGGAACGAAGTACTACTGATGCATATCACTTGAAAACATGCTCAGTGAAAGAAATCAAACTCAAAAGGCCACATACTGTATGATTGCATTCATATGAAATGCCCAGAACAAGCAAATCTATAGAGATGGATTGCCAGGGGATTGCCAGGCGCTGGGGGTACAAAGATTAGAGAGTAACTGCTAACGAGTACAGGGTTTCTTTTTGAGGTGATGGAAATGTTCTAAAATTGATTGTGGTGATAGTTGCCCAACATTGTGAATCTACTGAAAAACATTGAAATTACTTTAAAATGGTAAATTGTGTGGTATGCAAGTTACATCTCAATAAAGCTCTTACCTAAAAAAATATTTGCCAGACTTCCTTGCATTGATGCTGACAGATGGCATGAGGAAGTGGACTCAAGAACTTGCGGAGTGACTGGGGGAGATTCTTTGGGGTTACATTGCTGTAGTTCTCATGAAATGATCGCTGTGTCATGACTCTGGAGGAGGCTTTGATGAATGCTTCAGGCCTCAGATATGTGTTACCCCTGAGAGTGCCCTCCCCCCATAACCTTCCCTTTGTCACTTGCCATCAATTTCAGCCCCTTTCCTTCTTGCCTTTATAGCTCTTCCCACACTTAGAATTGTTTTTTGTCTGTGGATCTGATTTTGTTTGACTCTTGGTTGGCTAAGTTTCATGAGGTCAGGGGCTTGCTTGTCTATACCTTGGTTGCCCCTTAGTAGGTACTCTCTAAATACCTGTTGAGTAAATGAACCCATATGTACTGATAATAGTAGGGGGAGGGCTGGGCTGGGCGGGGGTCCCTGCTCACTGCAGGGGAAGGAGCGAACAGAGTGGATCAGGGTGTCTCCAGGCCCCAGTGGCTTTCTTTTAGTCTCCATTTCAGTTCCAAGAGAATGTCTGTGGAAAGGAAGCCCAAAGCCTGGTCTGGCTGGGAAGAGGGGAGGGGAGGGGAGCAGGAGTGGGGGCTGGGCGGGCCTGGGGAGGAAGTCTGCAGCCCCAGGCTGCCGAGGGCGCGGCGTCTGTGTTTGCACCTTTGGAATGTGGCTGATTCACTCTGGGGGGAGCCATGTGCAGCCACCGCTGCCGCCGACATCTGGAGGCTGAATTCCAGGAGGAGACAGATTCCTGCAAGCAGATGCCAACTTTGAAGGTCAAACTGAGCGATGGAGCTGCTTTAGAAGGAGGCCCAAAGGGTCTGACACTGCCCCCTCCATCTCCACCCCTGGATTCTGGGAGAGGTGAGGCCCCATCCCCAGCTGTGTCCCAGCCCCTAAGCTACCAGAGCCTCTAGGGGAAACCACGTGAGCTCTGCAGTGAGACCTGTATTCAGTGAGACCAGCTACATAACAGCTCATATAACTGCAAAGGCTGAAGGCCTGGCTGGTCCAGTGCCCATCAGTGGTGCTGGGACACTGGCTTGCATCTTCCCATCCAGTATCCTCTGTGGTGCCCAGCTTGCCTCTCCTAAGGCTCCAGCAAGACCCCAGGCTTGCCTCTTGTTGGGTCCCAGCTCATCTCGGTCGCTGATTGGCCAGGTCTGGGTCAGGAGCTTGCCTCAGCCCAGGGCCAACACCCCTAGAGCCACACAGAGAAGGTGGGAGTGAGGGGTCCCCCAAAGGAGCCAATGCGAGGGGTTGGGCACAGACACCACACACCCCACTTGGATCAGCTGCCTCCCCAGGACTGGCTTCTGCGGCTTGTGCCAGGCACTGTTTGTGCCAGGCTCAGCTTCATGGCTCTTACCTACTGGGTGTCCCGCTGGCTAAATTCCTTAAGCTCTCAGAAGCTCCTTTTCTTCATCTATGAAATCTCGTAGGATTCTTTGAAGGATTGAATGAGACAATGCATGCAAATCCCTTGGCACCTGCCTGGCCCAGAGGAGGCAAGATGCTTACTCATGTCTAGTTCCCTTTCTCTTCCTGGGTGCTATGTGATCTGCTCTGTGATGGTGCATGTGTGTGTGTGCACACGTGTGTGTGCACACGTGTGTGTGCATGCAGCAGGCCCCTTTCTCTTCTCCAAGGAGTTCTGTATTGTTTGGCTTCTTGCCAGAAGGTTAGGGACTACACAGGACAGGGTGGAGGCAGGAGGGAGAGTGAAGGGGTTGAGGGAGAAATGTGTGGGCCTCACTTGCAGGTCTGCAGGCTCAGGCCTGCCTGCCTCTGGGAGTCACCTCCCTATCCCCTCAGCTGCACCTGGGGCTGGAGAAAGGGCCCAGGCTCTGAGGAGTGGCTGCCTCTGTCCCTCCCATGCTACATTATAAGCGTGTCTGGTCGTTTGACATTGGTGGGCAGCCCTGAACCAGGCTTGCTGATCTCAGATGTTCTCTTTCTTGGAACCCTGGAAACTGGGGGTGGGTCAGAGAGAAACTCAGGCCTGGGGCTTCTCAGAAGAACTGTTGCCCAGAGTAGTCCAAGCCTCTTGGATGCTTCGGAGAAACCAGGGGCTTCTGTGAGGGCAGAGAGCAGGCCTGCTGTAAGCTTTGTCCAGCTATTTGTGAACTGAGGTAAAGCACCGCCCAGACTCTGCTTGGGGCTGTATCGCTAGAACGAGGGTTGCACCTCCTGGGCTCAGCATCCTCCTCTCCTGCCAGCCCTGCTCAGTGACACACCTCTGAGCTGTCACAGGTCTGTGGGTGCCAGCTCATCCCCTCCAAACCACCAAAGTCCCCCGACTCTCAGCCCAAACTCTGCTGTGCACGTGTGGTTATTTTCGTCTCCATGGCTGTGGGTTTAGTACCTCCATGCTGAGCTTAACTGGGACACTGCATCAGTCAACACAGTGGTTAGTGGATCCTGCCATCAGTCATTCATTCACGTCTGTGTGTGCTGAGCATGATTGTGACAATTGTCCCAGGCTGCCAGGACCATGCTGCCTGGCTCTCATCTGGGTGTCGAGTATATTTTAATGTGTTCATCTGGTCTCTTCCATTTTATGACAGACTCTCTGAAGCTGAAGAACATGGTAATGAGAGCTGCATTTCCTGAGCCCTTAGTAAGTGCTTTTTAAAAATTGAGATGTAGGGCCGGCCGAGTGGCTCAGTTGGTCACGAGCTCGCTCAAGAGTGCAAGCTCTGAGCAACAGTGGTTCGAGTCCCTGCCCGAGCTGAGCAGCCGCTGAGCTGCCAACAGGTGGCAGGATGGCTCAGCTAAAAAAAAAAAAAAAATTTGAGATATAATTCACATACCATAGAATTCACCCTACAGTTCAATGGGTTTTACAATAATCACAGCACTGTGCATCCATCACCACCATCTAATTCCAGAACATTTTCATTGCCTCCCAAAAAAACCCAGTAGATTCAATTGTAAAATATGTACCACTTACTTGGGGGAAATTGATAATGGGGGAGGCTGGTGTATGGGCAATCTGCTCGATATTGTTGTGAATTTAAAACTGCTCTAAAAAATAAAATAAAAAACAAAAAATAAACCCTGAACCATTATCAGTCACCCCCATTTCTCCATCTCCTCCCTTCCCCCACCCCTGGCAGTCACCAATCTGCTGTCTGTCTCTGTGGATTTGCCAGTTATGGACATTTCATATAAATGGAATCATAATATGTGACTTTTTGTGTCTGGTTCCTTTTACTGAGTACCATGTTTTCAAGGTCCTTCCATGTAGCATGTGTCAATACTTCACTCCTTTTTATGGCCAAGTAATATTTCATTGTGTAGATAAATCAGAATTTGTGTATTCATTCATCCATCAGTGGGTGTCTGGGTTGTTTCTGCCTTTTGTACATAATGCTACAAACGTATGTATCATTTTTTTGTGAAGATTAAGGTTTTCTTTTTAAAGAATTTTTTGGGGAATTGGGGGATGGGAACAGTGCTGGGGAATCGGGGGAAGGGGAACAGACAACTTGCTGTCCTTTTGTTCTTCAGTCTAGTTGTGGAGGACGTTGCTTCACTGGCCCAAGTTGGCACCATCATTGCGCTCTTCCCTGGCGAGGCAGATCAGTCGCTGGCTTCTGGACGGCAGCTCACGGCGGCTGCCGGCCGCTCACGCTGGCTGCTGGCCGCTCATGCTGGCTGCTGGCTACACACAGTAGCCCATGGCAACCCACTGTAGCAGGGGCTGCAGCCTATGCCGTAGCCAGCGACTCATGGTAGCCCAGTTCCAGGTTGAGCTGTTGTTCAGTGTCTTAACTGTAGAGGGCAGTGTCACTGGCCCTCATATGTGGGATCCAAACCGGGGCCCTCTGGTGTCCCAAGCCAGCTCTTAACCATCACACCACTCGGCCGGCCCAAGATTAAAGTTTTCAGTCTAAGTACTTTTTGACAAGAACCTTGTTTAATCCTCACAGCAGGGGTGCGTGTCCGTGCTGGCATGCTCCCTCTCCAGCAGATGAGGAAACCAAGGCTGAGAGATGCGTCAAGGTCACAAAGCTGGAAGTGCTGGGATTCTCCTGCTCTTGGCCCCGGGATGCCCACTGAGGTGTTTCCATTCATTTGTAGCAGAGCCTTGCTTAGTGCTGCCCCACAGTAAATGTTGCTGCTTCTTCAAACAAAGGCCGTGCAGACCTCAAGGCTCTGTCAAGGTGAGTGCCAGTCGCCTGCTCAGTGGTGGTAGTCCTATGGTCCCTGGGAAGCACCTCAGGGGGTGATGGGAGGTCCCTACTGCTGCAGATTCGCCCACAGATCCAGGACCAGACACTTGACTGCTTCCTCTGGGTAACTTCTCAGCCTGTACCACCTCGCTTTCCTGGTAGCCCCAGGGCTGCCTTTCATCTCTTGCCTCGGATTTGGCACACAGATCCATGTTTACTCACTGGTGAACTTTGCTTCTTCCACCTTCCTTTCCCTGTGGCATGTTGGGTAGGTGTGTGAGTCCAGCTGTCAGACAAGCCCTACTCTGCCTCTCTGGCTGTGTGGCTTCGGGCAAGTTTCTGAATGTCTCTGAGCTTCTATTTGCTCATCTGTAAGGGGGGGGCTTGTAATACTACTACCTATTGATAATGATACACTGATTAGGTGGTTGTGGAATTGACTAAGAGAAGGGAGATGAGGTGCCCACTCAGCACCTAGCATACACTTGGGAAACCACCTTCTTCCATCAGTCCTTATTGCAAAAGCAGGCTGGCAGCCTGCCCGGGGAGGAGGCAGAGCTTTGTGTGTCTCCTGTCCCTGGAGCAGCTGGAGGCTGCCATGACTCAGTTCTGCCCAAGGAGGGGGAAGTCAAGGCCAGGCCTCTGAGGTTGGGACGTGGGACCTCCCCGTCCTCCTCCCTACTCTGCCCTCTGCCCATCTCCCCACCCGGTGCTTCCGGCAAAGCTGGGCAGGGTCTGATGCATTCTTTGCTGCTCGCCTGAGCCCGGCCCTCCACCCCTTCCCCAGATCTGCAGCACAGACCTGCTGCTCCATGGACCACGCTGAGTGGGTGCCACGACCTGAAGCCGGAGGGGCAGACATGTGGAGGGGACATGGGCCAAGGATGGGAGGACCTTTGGCCACCAAAGCGGAGCCTCGGGCTCCTGCCAGGGAAACCCTCTCTACTGCTGCGGCTGCTGCTCAGCCTTCCCCAGCCCTGCCTCTCTCCCGCTTCTCACATTTCAGCTTCTGAGTTACTGGCACCACCTCGTGCTGCTGCTGCTGTTGCTGCTGCTGCTGCTGAGGCCACTGCACCAGACAGACGTTAACCCCCTATGTGCTGGCAGTGGTGCACGGCCTGAAATGGGCATCAGTGGCTCAAGATCTGGAGGGGCGAAGGGAGGAAAAAGCCATCCTGAAACCAGTCCCTTTGCTTTAGCCTGGCTCCCCTCCAGGGCGTTATCTTGCCTCCTTCCTCCCTGTCTGCCCAAACTTGAAGCCAAAGCCTCCCTGACCCCGAGGAATTATTCCTTCCTTTGGCTGCCTGTGTGCTGACAGTCAACCACAGAATGTAGGCTCTATCACCATATGCTTGACCTTGTCTTTTCACGCAGACTGCATTCTCTCCCTTCATATCCCTCACTGCACTCAGCTGGGCTCCCCTCTTGCTCCTGGCCTTACCAGGTCAGGACCAGGCCACCATTCCAAGGTGAGCTTTCAATCCTGAGGCCACAGGTGGTAGTGAGGACCCTGCAGGGTACCGGGCACTGGTACTGCCCAGCCGGAACGATCTTGGGCAAGTCCCTGGGGTATGATAACAGACTGGGAGTGCAATAGTGAGGACAAAACAGGGAATTCAAGTAAAGCCTCCAGAGCAGCAATTGGCACTCAGCGGGCACTCAATCACTTGTGCCCATATACACATGTGCCCCCCCCCACACACACATACACACATGCTGGGGCTCTGAGCACCCCCTCTCCTAGGAGAACTACTCCTGTTTCCTGCCTGCCTTTCCCCTTGTAGCCACCCAAGCCTCCTTTCTCATCAGACCAGGCTTCTGTTCCCTCCCTGGCCTGGCTAGTCCCAGCCCCATCCTTTTCCATCCTCAAGTGGGATTGCACATGCTGCCTTTTCTCCCTCACCCCTGTCCACTCCTCTGAGGAGAGCCACTGCCCAGAGAGACAATGGACACTCTCCGAGCTCAACAGCACGCCAGTTGTCCTCTTCTCCTGTCCCTCTGCCTCTGGCCCTTCTCCTGAACTCGAAATGTTCCCTCCCGGTTTCTTGTGGCACCCGTGCTGGCCGTTCACCCTCCCCACCACAATCGCTTGGTCTCTAGGCTGACTTAACGCTCCTTTTATATTGACCAGAGGCCCCGAGCTCTGTGCTCTCCTCTGGTGGGAAGGGCCCAGGCTGGGTGTCAGGTCCCCTCTTTATGGCTATGCCATGCCTGGTCTACCGGTGGGATTGTCGTAGCAGCCCTGTGTGCTTATAGAGATCAGCTGAGGAAGTGGTCAGACAGCCATTTCTGTCTAAAATTGAAACAGATCAGCCAGGGTGGCCATAGGTTGAATTTTTCTGAAGGGAATGGAGCTAACTGAAGCAAAGCGTACCTGGTTCCTCCTTGTTGACACGGTGAAAAGCAGAGAAGTGTCCCTGGGGAAAGTCCCTCACAGAGGGAGGTGAAATTTTCCCATGGAGTGTGAAAGGAGGCGCTGAGTGCTGACTATGGAGGGGAGAGAAGAGGAGTGAAGGCACAGCCCACCCTAGTGGGCTGCAGTAGCAGACCTGGAAACACAGGGAGTGGGACCAGAAACGGGGGTGGGGTGGGGGGTGGACAGAGGACATACCACAGGTAAGTGTACTCCAGCCCCCTTTTCAAGGGCTTGCTTTATGAGCAAAGTGAGTCACATCGGGCTGGGCAAAGGAAGCGGGCATCCGGAGGTCAGGGCCTTTTGGGGCTCCTAGAAAAGCCCCATGCCCCAAGATCTTCAGGGCCTTGGGGGTGCGTGAGGGAGGCTAGAGGTCAGCCCCTCCACCCCAATCCCTACTTTGGGTTGCTCAAATGTGTTCCCACGCTCCCTGCCCATAAAGCATCATGCGTGCTGGTCGCCCCCTAGTGGTTGGGAACCCCCAGCCTTGTTGGCCCAGAGATCTCCCTGCGTCTAGGATAGGAAAAGGGATCAGGGCACTGAAGGATATTGAGGCTTGCTCCAAACCCCAGTCTGGGCATCTTACCCCCATTCTGCTTTCCTGGGAGTATTCAGGAGTTCCTCCCAGGCAGGGGCTTTTTGCTTCTCTGGGGCCTCCATCCCTAATCCAAGAGCTGGCGTTCACCCCCCTCTCCCAAGCAGGCTGAGGTTCCTCACACGTACCAGATCCTCCTGGGGTCTGAAAGGCCACCTGTCCAAACCCCTGATCCTGGCATATTTGTGTGGAGGAAAAAAGCTTCAAATTAGGGTTGGGGCCCTAGATTCCTGTGTAGGTTCCATCTTCAGTTCTCTGTCTACTTTTGGGGAAGACCCTTAACTTTCTCTGCACCTCCTTCATGTTCCTTCTGTCTGTGGTAGCAGTTTTCTCCTAATGTCCACAGTGACTTCTGCTCTTGTTGAGCATAGGCAGAACCTGTGCATATGGTCTCACTCCCATGATTAGGTTATGTTGAACTTGAGATAGTGACATTATCCAGGTGGGCCTGACCTAATCACCTGACCCTTAAAAAGAGAGACTTTTCTGTTTCTGGAAGAGGAAATTAGAGAGATTTGAAGCAAGAGAGGGATCCACGTGTGGGATGTTCTCTTGCTCAGATGAAGGGGGCCACAGGACAAGGACCTGAGAATGGCTTCTAGGAGCTGAGAGCAGCCAGCAAGCCGATGGGACCTCAGTGCTACAGCCGGAAGGAACTGAATTCTGCTGACATCCAGTGAGCTTGGAAGAGGATTGGAGTCCCAGATTAAATCAAAGCCATGGCTGACACCTCGATTTCAGCTGGTGTAACCCTGAGCAGAGAACCCAGCCACGCCATGCCTGGACTGTGCAACCATAAACAGGTGCTGTTTTAAGCCAATAGATTCGTGGAAACATCATACAGCAACAAGAAACAAATACAGCATCTGTCCAAAGGGAAGAATAGTATTCTAGACACATGTAGGACAAAACTGAGAAAAATCTATTCCTCCCTTTACACAGGTGCTATGTAGAATCAAAACCTGCAGCGGCTATCCGTGCTTACAATCCCTCCTCCTGGCTGCAGTTAAACCCACATTCTTAGGGTTCACATCTCTCATCTGAGCTTCCAAGCATACTGAGATGAGGGCAGGTTTGTTCTGAGAAGGGTTGTACTGACAGCACCATCAGAGCAGGCAGATCCCACTTTGGCTAAAGAAAGGAGCTCTGGAACCCTTTGCTGTAGGGGATCCCCATGATTTCTGGGCCCCCCCTGGACTTCTGGCCATCTTTAGGGTCAATAAAGCCATTTAAAAAATAACAGCTTTATGGCTTCTTCTGGCTAGGCCGAGGGGTTAGCTTCGTATGTTGAAGGACACAGCTCCTGGAATTCTTGCCTTTTGCAAGATTGAAATCATGGCAGGTCCAGATACTGATGCCTAATTCCATTTCACTGGTTTCAAAAAATGTTCCAACTCTTATGCACTCGCAGGTAGAATGAATTGTGTACTGGCCACATATGGAGGCATTGCTTTGCTGGTCTTACAACTTTAAGTTCAGGTCTAAAAAAATTCCAACTGTGAAAGCAAGATGAAAGGATTCAAAACTGTACCTCATGTTAATTTCCCATGCCTGGAGAAGCTAATGTTAACTCATCATGTGATATTCAATTTATACGATAAATTACGAACCTGGAAAAAAATAAAATAGCAGCTTTATTAGATACAATTCACCCAATCTAAAGTGTAGAAATCAGTTTTTAGTATATTCACAGGGTTGTGTAATTATCATCACAGTCAATTTTAGAACATTTTTAGCACCCCAAAAGAAACCCCCACACCCTTTAGCAGTCACCCCTCATTTCCCCCTAACTCCCCCTCATTTCCTGACAACCACTAATCTACTTTCTGTCTCTATAGATTTGCTTATACTGGGCATTTCATATAAATGGAATCATACAATATGTGACTTTTTCACTGAGCATCGTGTTTTCAAGGTTCATTCATGCTGTGGCATGAAATCAGGACTTCATTGCTTTTTATGGCTGAATAATATTCCATTGTATGGATGGACCATGTTTTGTGTATCCATTCATCATCAAAGCCTGTGAATGACTCATTCACTCCTCCTACCTGGAATTTAGGGGTGGGGCTGGGGGAAGGGGAGAAAAGGGGAGGGAAGGAAACTGGGCACTACTAGCTCAGTAGATGATCTGCATTTTTTTTTTTTAAGATTTTACTGGGGAATCGGGGAAGGGGAACAGACAAGTTGCTGTCTTTTGGTTCTTCAGTCTAGTTGTGGAGGACGTTACTTCACTGGCCCATGTTGGTATTATCATTGCGCTCTTCCCGGATGAGGCAGATGGGTCGCCGGCCTCTGGATGGCCGCTCACTGCGGCTCTTGGCAGCTCACACTGGCTGCAAGCCACTCACTATAGCTTTACGGCAGCCCACTGCAGTGTACGCTGTCGCCGGCAACTCATGTGTTGTTCACCATCTTAGCTGTAGAGGGCGCAGCGTCACTGGCCCTCATGTGGGATCCGAACTGGATCACTGCTGCTCAGAGCTGGCGTTCCAAGCCAGCTGTTAACCAACGAACCACTCAGCTGGCTCGATGATCTGCATTTCTAACAGGGATCATCATCCAAGGGCAGCTATTTGATTACACTCTTTACAGAGACTCCCCTCTTAAAGGGCAAGCAGTCCGTGGGCTGATTTTCACACCACTTGATCCCACATGCTGTCATCTCTACTGTACAGCAGGTGAGCCCCATGTTCAGTGTCAAAAAACCTTACAACATGTCTGCTCCCTTTCACCTGTGGCAAGTTTTATCAGGGAAGTTGGGGAAGAGCTCAGCCCCTCCTCTGTCCTTCCCTGCACATCACCAAACCCTGTCACTCTCCCTGGGCCGGCTCAGATGCCTCTGGTCACCACTGCCCATGGCAACCTGGTACCAGTGATATAGCAACTACCACTCATTGATGCTACGACATGCCACCAACTTCTTGTGACAGCCTGCAAGCTAGGTAGGTGCTCTATGGCTTCTGTTTTACAGACCAGGGAGCTGAGTAAGGTTGAGGAAATTGCCTGGGGTCACTGTGGAGGTGGGGTTCAGGCAGAGCCTGGATTCCGAACCATACTGCATGGCTTCTAGTCCTTTCTGGATTGCTGTTGTCCGAAGAGCAGGGAGTGTGTGTAGACAGAGACGAGGTCTGAGGACTGTGGCCCCAGGGATTGGGGGCCCCAGATGCCAAGCAAAAAAGAATTTCAAAGTCAGATATGGTAAAGACAGAAAACAGAGCTCCTTGGAGGTCACGAGTGACTTTAGCAAGAGCAGTTTTCATGGAGTTGTGGGGGCCAGAGGGAGTTGCCATTTCAGGGGGTTTTGCTGCAAAGGAGGCTCGTGAAGAGAGAGTGGTGGTTGGAAGGAAATGCAGGCTCATGGGTTGTTTTTGTTTTTAAAAATGGGAATAAGGACAGCTTGTTCTTGGATGTTGGTATAGTCCAACAGAGGCACACACTGAGGATGAAGGAGGGCGAACAGCTTCTGGAGAGACATCTCTGAATTATACACGGTTCTCCATGCACAGACATTCATCTAGACACATTACAGGTACAGGTAGGGAGGCAGAGGTAGTGACAGTGTGTGGGATTTCTCTTCTAATTGCTCCCATGTTCAGAGAAACAGGACCCGAGGTCATGAGCTGAGAGTAAGGAGTAGGGGGAGGTGATGAGGTCTTGAGGAGAGAGGTGGGAGGAGAATGGACAGGGCAACAGGAAGTGATTGCCAGTGGTCTGAGGCTCCACTCCAGGATCCTGGTCTGGCATTTAGAAATCAGATCAGTCAGCAAGGTTGTGGGATTTCCTTTCCCCAGCCCTGTTCAGCTTGGGGGGCTTAGGGGAGCAGTAGGGGCAGGACAGGTGGGGTAGGGGAGAGTGTATGCATATTGATGGGCTGTGTATTCTAAGCCAGATAAGATAAGGGGGGAAAGTTGGTAGGATCAATGGGATTGGCAGACTACAGCCCACAGGCTAAATCCAGCCCATTGACCTTTTTAAAAAAGTTTTTTGTTGTAGTAAAATAGATATGAAATTTGCCATTTGAACCGTTTAAATTGTATAGTTCAGTGGCACTGATTACATGCACAATGTTATACAATCACCACTATTTCCAAAAATTTCCATCACCCCAACCAGAAACTCCATAGCCATTAACTCCCTATTCACCCATCCCCCCATGTATCAGAACTTCATTCCTTTTAAGACTGAATAATACTCCACTGTATGGATAGGCCACATTTTGTTTATTCAATCAGCTGGACAGTGGGTGGTCTGCACCTTTCGGCTCTTGTGAATCATGCTGCTGTGAACACTGGTGTACAACATGTTTGAGTCACTGTTTTCATTCTTTTGGATATATACCTAGGAGTGGAATTACTGCAGCATATTGTAACCTCTGCCTGGTTTTGTATGGCTCACAAACTAAGAATGGTGTGGTAGATAGAAAAATGCCCTCAGCCCTCCACCCCAAGATATTTATGTCCTAATCCCCAGTACCGTTGAATAAGTTATCTTACATGGCAAAAGGAACTCTGAAGAGGTGACTAAATTAAGGATCTTGAAATGGAGAAATTATTCTGGATTATCTGGGTGGGCCCAAGGTCATTATAAATGGGAGGCAAAAGGGTCAGAGGAGATGTGATGACAGAAGCAGAAGTTGGAGTGACACACTTTGGAGATGGAGGAAGAGGCCACAAGCCAAGAAATTTGGGCTGCCTCTAGATGTTGGAAAAAGCAAGGAAATATAAATCCTTTCAGAAGGAACACAGCCCTGCGGACACCTTGATTTTAGCCAAATATAACCCATTTGGACTTCTGACCTTGAGAATAAATTTGTTTTATGCCACTAAGTTTGTAGTAATTTGTCACAGTAGCAATAGGAAGCTCATACACATCACTTTTACATGTCCAGAAAAAGTTTGCTGACTCCTAATTTAGAGCAAGAAGGTGACCTGGAGAATCAGGGGTCAAGAATCTAAGGGGTTTTGCTGAACACTCTCTGAGGACTGAGCAGGCACAGAGGACGGAGTTTTGGGATTGGGGAAGGAGAAGGGGTCAGACTAGGGATGTACAAAACCTCCTGGGAATTGGGGGGCAGCCTGGATTTTAGGGACTGCTTGTGCTACTGCCATAGTGATGGGGGAGAGGTGAGTGGAGGCCTGGGGGCAGGAGCAGCTGATCCAGCCCAGGGGACTCTAAGTTGTGCGTCTGAGACAGCTGAGAGCTCTAGGGGAGAAGGTGCCTTTGGCAGAAATGGAGAGGCCGCCTGAGTGACAGAGCTCATGGGAACCAAGCCTGGTTAAGGCAGCTCAGTAGGAAAAGAAAGAGCAAGAGGGGTAGATACTCTTCTCCCAGGCGTCATGTTCTATTCATTCATCCAGGCACGGTACACGTTGCTCAGTGTACAGTTAATATGGCCCTGTATCCTGTGTTGTCCCCCAGATGTCAGTTTCCTGAGCACATTCCCTGTCCCCCCAGTGAGACCCAGGGACTGTGATGTGAAGTGGTCTGGGCTCTGTCCTTAGACTGCCCAACGGGTTGCTTTAAGGATTGGAAAACATGCATGCAAAACTGCTCAGCATCTATAAGGTGCTCCCACTATCTAAAAACAATATTTCCTAATAATAACAGTAATCCTTGTTATTAGTAGGAGTATTTCAATTAGGAGGTGCGATTTGGGCAGAACCTTGAAGGCGGATGGGATTGGGAAAAGGCGGTGGGCAGGAGGCAGGACATTCCAAGGCAGGTGTGGTCTTCCTGAGCCAGGGGCCAACCCTCCAGGAGCCAGGGGGAGGGTCTGAGGACGTGGTAGTGGTGGTGGGGAGGTGGGGGGTGGGACCGAAGGTCGCTGCCAGCCAGTGTCCCCCGCCCCCTCAGGCCATCACCCCTGGTAGAGAGCGCACCCTGGCGGAGGAGCAAGTCTCGAACTGGCTTCGCCATGAATGAGAAGCTGCAGCCTTCGGCCCTCCCAGGCCAAGCTGGGGCGGGCCTCCTGCGGTTCAGCCTCCCGGCGGAAGGGGAAAGTGTGTGAGTGTGTGTGTGGAGGGAGGGGGGGCAGCGAGGGGGCGAGTAGAATAGGACCCGGCAGCAGCCACCAGACCGCCCAGCCGCTCTGGCAGTCAGTCCCCCGGCCGCTGCCGTTCTGGCCCCCCTCCACTTTTCCCTCCCCGCCAGGGTCCCCGCTTCCTAGGGCTGCCCCAGGACCCGAGGCTCCCGGCGCGCCCCCCTTTGCTCTCTCCTCCCCTCCCCGGCTCCGGGATTCCCAGGCTCCGGAGCCCGGGCCGGGAAGCCAGCGGGGGGCCGCTGGGCAGGGAAGGAGGAGGCTGGCGGGTCTCCGAAGTCGGCCCCAAGTTACATGTGGGAAGCGGTGGCTGTGACGCAAGTTTCCAGGGGGCCCTGGGCTCGGAGGGAGCGCGCCAGAGCGGCTCCACTTCGTGCAGTTGCAATCGTGAAAAAGGAAAAGCCCCGAGCAGCACCCCAGGCCGCCGTTGCCGCCGCATGCCGGGCCCAGCTGCGCGCCCTCCGCCCCCGAAGGCTGCAGAGCGCGCAGACCCTGCACCGGGCAGTCCCCGCCGGACCCCGGCCGCGCGGACTGGGGCTCCCTCGCGGTGGCTGGCTTTTTTTTTTTTTTTTTTTGCAACGCTTGCCAACCTGTCAGCTGATGGACCTCATCACCCATAGTGGCGCATGTAGCTCGGCCGCAGCTCGCTCCATTCACCCGCTCCCCACGAGCCCGCCCGTGGCCCCCAGCTCCCGGCTCCCGGCGGGAGGCCTGCAGACCCCCGCTGCCACCCGCCACAGGGGGCCCGTGCCCCTCTCGCCCCGGCCTCGCGCCGCCCGGGGGGCGCTGCAAATAGTCCTTTGTTTACATGCAATTCCTTACTCCGCGGAAGGAGGCCGGGGGAGTGCTGAGTTTTCACCAGCTGTTTCCCGCCTTGAAACAGACATCTGATCAGCTGCAAACACACACACACACACACACATACACGCGCCCGGGGAGGCAGGCCGGAGAGACCTCCCTCCCGCCCCTCCCGCCCGCCTCCCTCCCCTCGCCGCCGCCGCCGCCAGCATCTGGGACCGGCCGATTCTGCACCTCCGTCCGGCGCTGCCCTTTGATTCGGATTTCCATCTTGCATTCTCCGGCGGACCGCGGGACCCGGCTCGTGCAGAGGAGGGGGGCCGATCGCTATGGAGTATTTCATGGTGCCCACTCAGAAGGTGCCCTCTTTGCAACATTTCAGGAAAACAGAGAAAGAAGTGATAGGAGGGCTCTGTAGGTGTGTACTCCTCCTCCCCCCCACCCTCTTCCTACGATTGCAGCCCCTGGCCAGCCCGCCCGGGCGGGCGCGCGTGTACGCACGCATGGCCTGCGCCGCCAACCCCGCTAGCCTTTCTTAGCCGCCGGGACGGCTGCAGCCCCGCGCGCTGGGCTCGCGCCGTCCGGGGACCCTCTTCCCTCGGAACGTGGGGGCATTGAGCGGACCCGGTCACTTTTGTCCGCTGCAGGCGGGCGAGTCGCGACGTTTGTAAATTGCAAACAGACCCACGTGGTTCTGCAGCAGTCCCGGCCATGCTTGGTGCTGGTGGCTTCCCCCCCACCCCCCACCGCGCTTCCTCCTCCTCCCTCCCGCGGCGGCTTCCTTCCTCTCCTTTTTCTCGCTCTCTCTGGGCGCTCCCCTCCAAGGGGACCTGGGGGCCCCGGGGCGCGCTGGGGGCTGCTACAATGCAGCCACGCCGCGGCTCCGGGCGTGGGGGGGCGGGGAGCCGGGTGGTGCGTGTTTGCAGGGCGCTGGGCTGCACCGGGTCGGAGGCGTGCTCGCATGAGGGTGCGGGTGTGGGCGGGACCCCAGGGGCCAGCGCGGCCGGCCGGGAGCGCCGCGGACGGGGGCACGTTGGCAGCAGCTCGCCTGCTTGCTCGCCGCCCGCGCCTGGGCGCTGTTTACTAGCGAGGCCTGGACGTGACTCTGCAGCCCTCTTGGAGTAGGCGGACCTCGGCGCGCCGCCTCGCGGGAGCTGTAGTTCTCCGCGCCCCGCTGGTACGGCATTGTGGGAGTTGTAGGCGCTCCCGGGCCACGCTTTCCGCACACAAAGCTCGGTCCCCGCGGGCGAGATACGTGAAGCAGGCTGGTGGGGGTTCTTTATGGGGAGGGGGCACTAGAAGCTGCCCCTAGCCTCACGAGGCCACTGCCCGCCGCACGTGGGTCTAAGCTGCAAACTTTCCCATCTCCCGCCCCTCCCCCAGCCATTAACTGAAAGCGTCGGGTCTCCCAGCCGGGTGGGTGGGTGGTCCGAGGTTTGCGGCTCTCCCCAAGGAGCCACTTTACTAATTTGGCCGGGGTTATTACAGATTCACCCTTTACCAAAGGGTAAGGGGTTCGCGCACCCGAGTCGCCCAGGACACTTGTTAAAATTCCGTGCCCGCAACTCGGGTAGCTAGGACCTGGCAGTCTTGTCTACTGAACGCCACCCGAGAGATGGCGATGCTGCGCGGGGGGTTCTCCTGCACGCCTAAGTTTGGGACCTGCGGTTCCTTTCCTGCGGCGCTGATCTAGGAGCGAAATGGCTCCCCAGGGCTGGGGCCACGTGCTCTACCGCCTGGGCAGGCAAGGCGGGGTTGAGGGAGGTGGAGCCCCAGGTGGTGTGGCCCAGGCTGGTTGGACACCAGGGGCTGCAGACACCAGGTTGGGGGAAGGTTGCTGCACACGTATTAACCCTACCCACCCCCCGCTTCGCTACCACTTTACTCTCAAATTCAAGGAGGATGGGCCAGTTGGTTTCTGCAGCCAGCAGGGCCCCCTTGAGTGCTGGCTGGCCCTTCCGAAGTTCCACCTGGAGGACCTAGCTGTAAAAAGTTAAAGAAAAAAAAAAAATATATATATATATAAAATAGATTTTAGAGCTCTTAATATGTTCCAGGGACTTGTTTTGCCAAATTTTTCTCACTGAATTGTCAGTCTTCCTGAGTTAAGTGACCTTATAATTTCTGTGTGGGATAAGGACACAGGCTTGGGAAGGGTACAGCTACAGCAAGTAGGTAGAGCTAGGACTTGAACCCTGATCCCAGTGCCATGCTCTTATCTCCCAGCTGCTGGTTGCTCAGAGGAGGGCTGGGCAGTGGGGAGGAGGGGTTGAGCTGTTCTAGATGCTGGAGAGGACATTGCAGGCCCTGACCCTGGGCAGGCTTGGTGCAATGGACTCTGGTCTCACTCTGTCCCTAGCCCCATTTTGGCGGAGTCCATCTGTCCCCCAGGGGCCAAGCACTCCAAGTGGCAGGAACCCCCTACAGGGCTGGGCATGTGGGCTTCCTCAGCCTGCCTTGTTGGGAAACACTTGTCATCCTGTGCACACACAGCCCTGACACGGAGTTGGGGCCTCTGGGTTTGTTCATTTTTAGAAGAGGTCCTGGGGTGAAGTCGGAGACCTGTCGAAGATCAAGGTTGGGGATTGGGCAGGACCTTCTGGCCAGATGGACTCGCTTCTCAGGCTGGCGGACTTGATTCTATCCCTCAGTGACTAGCAGGGTTCCCTGCCTCCCTAGAGGGGTCATACTGTGCAGTGGGGCCCGCGCAAGCTGTGGTTTTTGACCTGTCACCTAACTGCTCTTAGCCTCTGTAAAATGGAGCACCTGTGAAGTTTGGCTATGTATATGGAAAGTGCCTGGTAGCTGTTAAAATGGCTCTCAAACTTTTAGAAGCAGGAGCATGGTGGTCCTAAAGAGTTTAGTGACTGCCCTCGGCCAGGAAAGAGACAAACTGCTCTCAGGAGTTAGAGAACAATTAGGGGCTTTGGAGTGTGTTGGGTCTCTGATTTGGTACTTACGAGGCACCTACTTTGTGCTGGGATTAAGGATGTCACAGTGAACCAGAAGTGGCCCCTGCCCTACAAGCTCAAAGTCTTGTGGTGCTAAAGGATCTTGTCAGTCCCTTAAGAGAGACTTATGGGTTCTCCTGGAGTCCTGGGTACAAATCCTGGAAAAACAAGGCATCCCGTTATCCTGTCCCCCTCCCTCTCCTCCCCTTCCCCTCTCCTTCATCCCCTCCCCCTCTCCCTCCCTCTCTCCCTTTTAAACTTCACCATGACCCTGTGAAGTGAGGCAGTATTCCTCCCATTTTACAGATTGGGAGACTGAGGCTTTGCGAGATGAAGTGGCTAAGTTTGCGATTCCACAGCTAGTAAGTGGCAGGCAGGACTGGAGTTTGCACTGAACCCACTGACTGCAGGGCTCCCTCTGAGGGACTGGAGAAGCTCTGTGTGTGTGTGTGTGTGTGTGTGTGTGTGTGTGTGTGTGTGTGTGCGTGCGCGCGCGCGCGCGCGCGCGCAGTGGTGGTGGTGGTGGTGGTGGTGGGTGTTTCTGATGGGAACAGCCTGGATGTGGTATGTTCTGGGACTGAGGGCAGGGTTGGTAGGCTGGTTGGAGTGGGGTGTATGGGTAGAAGCAGAGGAGATGGGCGAGGGCCCCAGGCTGCTTCTGTACCTGCTGCACAGAGAAGGATGAGTGCCTTGGGCATCCTTGGTGAGGGTCGTCTTTCTCCCTTCTGTTCTTTGGAGCATGGCTGTCCATAAATCCCGTGTGGCTGTCCCACCCTTACTGTGTAGCTTGCTGTTGAGTGGCAGGTATGTGAGTGACTTTGGGGCTGTGTGAAATGAGAGTTGACAGTGGCTAATTTGAGGCTGGAGCCAGCAGGGGGATTTAGGGGGACGGGGGATACTCACTGTCCTTGGGCTAGATGGGAGGAACAGGTACAGGTAAGGACCTAGATTTGAAGAGTGTGTTCCCTGCCCTGAGCCTCTGGTTGGGATGCCGACGTTATTCCCAGGGGGCTGTCTGGGGGTACTGTGGTAGTGGGGTGACAGCTCTGGTCTTGGCACCTGAGGCTGGTACCCAAACTGTTTCTCGGCAGGTGCCCTCCCTTATCCCTGAGGTGGGGAGCCCCTGGCCAGCCCCAAGAGACTGTCAAAGAGCAGTCACGGAGTAAGAGAAGCAAGAGATATTTATTGTCAGTGGACCCAGGCCACCTTTATTGCTCACCTGGGGGTCTGAAGTTGATGTAGAAAGGGGTGGGTAGGACTTTTACAGTTACTGTATATCATGTTTACTTCTGCAAAACTCAAAGAAGTGCAAAAAAACCCAACTTTAAGACATTTGCAGAAAAATCTACTTTAGTACAGTATCAGCTGAAATTCTAATTAGCTATCCTTTACAGGAACCTCTGGTTGGCCAGCACTCCACCAGTCAGAACCTTTGGTTAGTTAAATTTATTAATGAAACGGTCAGTTGGTACTTCCTGGGCTACTTAGGTGAGTGATAGTGGAGAGTCTTGGTGGCAGCCCAGGTCCCCAGAAAGAACTATAGCTTTGGGGAGAGGTCTTTTCTGGGACTTAAGTCTGCACTAGCTGGTTCCTGAGCCAAGAGGCTGGGCTGATGGACTTGGACTTGGTGGCAAAGGCAACATGATGGAACATTTGGAAGAGCTGGGCTGCCAGCTTCTTATGAGCAGGAGATGACAGTCTCCTATACCCTACCTGAGCCTCAGGACCCTTCCTTCTGGGAACTTCTAGCTGGGGCTTGCAGGCCTAGGGTCCTGCAGTCTCCTTTGATCTTCCCAGTTTGTGGACATTCTGGGGAGAAGGGAGAGGCTGAGGGTTGGCTCCCCAGAACTGAGGTTTCATTGGCAGATGAGCTGGCTGATAGGGGGCCTTGAGCTCTGGCTTGGCGACGCTTGCTCCCTCTCGCAGCAACACACATGGGGCCCTGGTAAGCAGTGGGCTGTGTGCATGAGCCTTCAGTATAGGGCGCCATCAGCAGGTGGGGGATGAGCGTGAGCTTCATTAGCGGAAGGTGCCTGTTGCTCCCTGGTCTGGCTGCCTGACCTTGGGCATGTCACTTAACCTCCCAGGACCTTGGATTCCTCATTGCAACAGGGTAATGCGGCCACTCTGCTAGGTTTCTGTGCGTCAGACAGGGAAAAACATAAAATAGTTCTGTGAATGATAATAGGAGCTAACAGGATGGCCAGGCATATCTGTGCTTGGTTCTTTTTTTTTTTTTTTTTTTTTAAGATTTTTATTGGGGAATTGGGGGGATGGGAACAGTGCTGGGGAATTGGGGGAAGGGGAACAGACAAGTTGCTGTCATTTTGTTCTTCAGTCTAGTTGTGGAGGACGTTGCTTCACTGGCCCAAGTTGGCACCATCATTGAGCTCTTCCCGGGCGAGGCACATCAGTCGCCAGCTTCTGGACGGCCGCTCACGGCGGCTGCTGGCCGCTCACGCTGGCTGCTGGCTACACACGGTAGCCCATGGCAACCCACTGCCACAGGAACTGCAGCCTACGCCGTCGCCGGTGACTCACAGCAGACCAGCTCCAGGTTGAGCTGTTGTTCAGCATCTTAGCTGTGGAGGGCAGTGTCACTGGCCCTCATATGTGGGATCTGAACCGGGGCCCTCTGGCGTCCCAAGCCAGTTCTTAACCATTGCGCCACTCGGCCAGCCCTGTGCTTGGTTCTTAATACGGGGAGACTGTCACCTGTCTTTTGGGGTGTGATGCTCTGTGGGACAGAGCAGAACCCACTCTGCTCTGTGATGAGACCTCTTGGGGGTAAGAGCCGGGCCCTGGGATTGGTGTTCAAGTACCAGCCCCAACACTTGCTGAGCTTTTCCCTTTTCAAGCCTCTGTGTCTTCACCCCACACAGGAACCATAAGGCCACATAACTCAGAGGAAGATTGTGACAATTCAATGAGAAAATCCCAGCAAAGCAAGTCCTTAACACATTATAGTAAGAGCTTGAAAAAGACTCTTTAAAAAGACTATTTACTCTGTTGCTAGGCCCTCCTGGTTGGCCTTCTGGAAGGGCTAGCCCCCAGGGTGGTTCAAGGATGGACGTGGGGCTCCTTTTTGACCCCTCACTACTCTGGTCAGCTCTGGCCCTTTGGGCATCACCCTGAGGGACCCAGGGATAGGGTGAGTGGGGGTCTCTCCCGTATCTTTCCTGAGGGGGATGCTCCCAGACAGTGTCACCCAGTGGCTTGGCTTCCTGTCGACGTCTCTCCTCATCTTTTCTTGCCCCAAAGACCCCCAACTTTAATCTACCCACCGCAGAGCTTCTGGAGGGCACTGTCAGGCCTGGGAGCCTGAACTCCGTTCTAATCCACCCTCCCCCAAATGGCAGGCACACCTCTTCGTATCAGGTCTCTGACCTGCACACCCTCTAACCATCCCAGTCACCCCCATTGTAGGGGCAGGGAAACTGGGAGAAGTGAGGTGCCTAGAAGTGGGGTAGCCAGATTCTTGGCTGTCTGACTCTAAAACCATGTCCCTCCCCACTCTGAGCCCTAAGTCCCATCTGTAAAGTGGGGATCATGGGTCCTCTTTCCAGTGCTGACATTCTGAGGCCCTGTGAGGGACCTGTACCCTATGGAAGGGGGCCCAGGGAGGCCCTGTAGGGACTGGTGAAGGAGGGGATCTTGTCTCTGGACCCTCAGCAGTGGCCGATGTGGAGCCTGCTCCCAGCTCACCCCCAGCCAACAACCTTCGTTAGGAGTGGAGGCTGAGGCCCAGGAAGGCGCAAGGACAAGTCCAGGGTCCTGCAGGGAGCCGAGATGGGACAGACAGGGTGGGCTGGGGGACCAGGAAAGGCCTTGGCTGCCTCTAGCTATTGCAGATGTGTTCCACTCCTGGGTTTCTGTGCAGACTTTTCTGCCCGGGGCTGTGCATGGGGGCCCGGCATGGCAGAGGAGCTGGACCAGGCACCTCTTTGAGCCCAAGCTCCCCTATCTATGGAAATAGGACGGCCCAGAGACTTCTCCCCATTTCCCCAAGGGTGTGAGCCCAGGCCTGGACCAGGTCACCCCGGGAGGGCCCCTCAGGAAGAAGCCAGGGCTGTGGCTTTGGGTGGGGCCAGTGGCCTCTTCTGGGAGCCCAGCATCTGGAAGCCATCAGGCCAGGGTTGGGGGGGAGTTGCAGGAGAGGGCCGGGAAGGGGGACATGCCTTCTTGAGGCCACACACAGGCCCACCCCTTGGGAGCAATGGCTTTGGGCCCATGGGCCTGCAGGCCCCGCTGCCGCCTCTACCTCCCGCCAGTGCCTCTAAGCCCGCAGCCTCACCCCCTCCCTCTGGCTGCCTTCGCTCTCACCCTACTGGCTGCTGCTCCTGCACGATGTAATCACATAATATGCAGTAACATTGCCCACTGCATGCTGGGAGCCTTGCTTCTCTGGCACAGGATGGGTCTGCCTCTTGGGGTAGGTGGGCCTGGCGTCCCCTTACTGGAGTGAATGGTACCTGTCTTGTCTTTGATGTCTTATTGCAGGGTGGCTGGAGGCTTGCGTAGGAGCTTGTGGGTAGAGACCTGGCTGTGGGGATGGGGAGGGGGGAGGGGCATTTTCCTTAGGCCTCAATCAAGCCTGTGGCTCTGAAGGATGTGGTCCAGGTGCATAGCAAGGAGCTCAGAGGAGTCCGAGAAGCAGGTGTCTCCAGTTGTCACCTGGGCCCACCTGCATCAGAATCACGGATTCTTGCAGGATTTGGGCCCCACGCAGACCTGCTGGCCAGATACTAGGGCTGGAACCTGGGTTCTGCACCGTGACTTTGACACCCAGGTGGTGCAGAACACGCTGCTCTATCACCCTGCTAATCTGTTTGGGTGTAGGCATGAGAGAGGTGTGGTATCTTTTGCAGGGGGAGAAATGCAGGTGACCCGTGGGGCCCTCTGTAGGTGAATCGTAAAGACAGGGGCGCATTGGGGTCAGGGCATGGAGGGCTGGCTCCTAGCCTGAGCATGTCCCTGCCTCCCCGCAGCCTTGCCAACATTCCACTGACCCCTGAGACTCAGCGGGACCAGGAGCGGCGGATTCGGAGAGAGATTGCCAACAGCAACGAGCGGAGGCGCATGCAGAGCATCAACGCGGGTTTCCAGTCCCTTAAGACCCTCATCCCCCACACAGATGGCGAGAAGCTCAGCAAGGTAGGCGAGGTCCAGGAGTGCTTCCAGGAGGAGGTGGTGGGCTCCAGCAGGGAGAAGGAAGTGAGTTTCGGTAGACATTACCAGCCAGAGCCCCTGACTTGTCCCTCCCACCCTCAGGCAGCCATTCTCCAGCAGACGGCAGAGTACATCTTCTCCCTGGAGCAGGAGAAGACCAGGCTCCTACAGCAGAACACACAGCTCAAGCGCTTCATCCAGGTAGCACCTGTGGAGGCCTCCCGTCACCTCAGTGCCCTGCCCAACCCCCGGGCTCCCTCTCCCTGGCATGGGCATGTCTGGGCCCAACTGCTGGCCTGGGACTCCAATGTGGCGGCAGGTCTTACCTTCCACACTGACCCGCACACTTCAGTCACTTGCCTTCCTGCCAGGGCCTTAGTTTACCCATCTATCAAGGGCAGTGGAATGGCTCTGGAAGGAACTGGGTGACTTTTGGCTAGCAGATCCATTCCGCCTCCATTCGTAGCCTGTGACCATTGGATTTGTAGAAGGGGGCTCCCAGTGCTAATGCACCTGGGTTGACAGCTTTTAGGGGCTACGATGGAGCTCCTTGACTTCTCCATTGGCGGTGGTGGTACGGGGCTGTCAGGGCACACTCACTGATTCCTTGGGGTCCTCAGGAGCTGAGTGGCTCATCCCCCAAGCGACGACGAGCAGAGGATAAGGATGAGGGCATTGGTTCGCCAGACATCTGGGAGGACGAGAAGGCGGAGGACCTGCGGCGGGAGATGATCGAGCTTCGGCAGCAGCTGGACAAGGAGCGCTCGGTGCGAATGATGCTGGAGGAGCAGGTGAGGTGGGTGGGTGGGGTGGGGGAATTCCAGCCTCTCGCTCTTCCTTTCCTCCCATCCCTGCTTCCCTTGAGCAGTTATTTACAGGAGTGCCTGCTTTGTACCAGGCCTAGGAGTGTGTGTGTGTGTGTGTGTGTGTTGGGGGCAGGGGGGTCCAGTGGGGAGCAAACCAGACAGGTCCCCCATCAGGGCTACTGTCTGTGTTGGGTACTGAGATGAGTCAAAGGATCTCACACTGTAAAAGCGCAGCTCTGATAAAGGTGCAGGAAGCATGGGTATCGGGGGAGTGTGGGGGGAGGAATTTGGGCTGCCCCATCCCATGGCTTCTCTGTTAAAGTGACTTGAGCTGTTTGAGAGGTTGGGAGTCGGGGTTGAGTCACAGTTACGCAGGCAGAGAGGGGAGAAGGGTGCTCTAGGCAAAGGGAACAACATGGGCAAAGGCCCTGTGGCTGGAGGGAGGGAGAGAGCATGGCATGAGGAAGGCCGTGGAAGGAGAGGAGGTGAGTCAGGGCTAGCCTGGCGGGCTATGGTAGGACTTTGGTCTCTACCCCAGGGTGACAGGCTCCTGCTAGGGTTTGCAGCAAGAATGAATGGCCTGCCTTGTGAAGGGTAGAGTATGGGGAGGCTGACCTCAGCAGCCCTGAGGACCCTGCATTGGAGGAGGCTCCAGGGTGTGGTAAAGGCCCTGCCCCTGAGCCCGCCGCTCTACCCTCAGGTACGCTCGCTGGAGGCCCATATGTACCCGGAAAAGCTCAAGGTGATTGCACAGCAGGTGCAGCTGCAGCAACAGCAGGAACAGGTGCGGCTGCTGCATCAGGAGAAGCTGGAGCGGGAACAGCAGCACCTACGGACCCAGGTGAGTAGGAGGCACCGGGAGGGGCTGTGTGGGCCCGGCTGGGCTGTGTGGGCCCCGACTAGGACTCTCAGACTCAGCATTAGTGCCTTGGTGTCCAGCAGGGCATATCCAGGGCCTAAATCGTTATGACGCAGATATTCCTGGTTTCCAGGTGTTTGCATACATTATTACATGAATCCTTGTAGCAGCCCTTTGAGACTATTTTACTGATCAGGAAAGTGAGGCACAGAAAGGGTAAATAACTTGCACAAGATCCTCAGTGATTGGGGCAGGGACTTGAACCCTGGCTGTCTAAATCCAGAATCTAAACTGACCACCACTGTATTATTTGGACTGCTTGCTTGGTGCTGGACAGTGAAGGGGCCATGGGATCTTGAATGGCTGGAAGCCCCTCTCTAGGCTGCCATTTCTTTGTTTCTCAACCCTCTGTTGGGCGCAACCTATCTCACACGTTCATTGTACACAAATTTTCAAATATGAAATACATTTTTACTAAGTCACAAACACAACTGGCGATAGGGTACAGTAGAGGGGGAAGAGACAAAAGTGATGAGTCATGATGCATAAGTTAACTGTTAGATATTTGAAAATTTGTGTGCAATGAATCTGTGAGATCAGTTGCGCCCGACGGAAGGTTGAAATAAGAGGGGATGGGGGATTCCAAACTGGCCAGCTCCCCATGAGTGGTCGGTGGAGGCTGTCTTGATGCAGTGGGCAGACGGAGATGGTTTTGGAGGGTGTCTCACACCCTCTGTGACCACCAGAGGGAAGGGACAGCTCCCAGACCTTTGGAGAAAGACTGAGGACCCCTGTCTTGCAGCTCTTGCCCCCTCCCGCCCCCACCCACCACCCTACGGTGATTGTACCAGCGCCGCCACCCCCTCCATCCCACCACATCAACGTCGTCACCATGGGCCCCTCCTCGGTCATCAACTCTGTTTCCACGTCCCGGCAAAATCTGGACACCATCGTGCAGGTACCTCGGCTTGGGGAGGGGGCAGCACGTGGGGGTTGTCCCCTGGGAGCAGGTGCTTTGGGGAAGATTAGAAAGTGGGGACTGAACGGGAGTGAGACAGGGCTTTGAGTGTGGGGGGGAAAAGGTCTGGAAGTTGTGTGTGTGTGTGTGTGTGTGTGTGTGTGTGTGTGTGTGTGTGTGTCCATCCATCTCTAATTCTTCCTCGNTGTGTGTCCATCCATCTCTAATTCTTCCTCGTGTGTGTGTGTGTGTGTGTGTGTGTGTGTGTGTGTCCATCCATCTCCAAGTCTTCCTCTCTGTTTTGGGGGTGGGAGAGGGAACTCTGTGGAGAATGTGAAGGGGGAACAGGAGAGACTGGGGATAGGATGGCCCTGAAGGAAGACCTTGTTCCTTCTTTCCACATGGGGTTTGCTGAGAGGGTCCTTTGCTCCCAGAGCCCTGGGCTTCGAGAGTTCCTGCATCCAGCTCGGGGGTTGGTCCAGAATTTCCTCTCACATGGGGTTGAGGCGGCAGTGGCTGGGATATAAACCTCCTACAGAGGAGGAAGAAATGAGATAAGCTCTGGGGGTCAGGCCTGAAGTCACTGCTGTACTCTTCCTAGGGCAGAGACCCCTTGGAAGCCCCGGCAACAAAAAAAGGAATAAACTAAACAAAAAAGCCCATCAACCCCTGGACCTTTAGTTGCACATAAACCCAGCAGATTGAATAATAAAATTAATAACAAAGACCTTCCATCAGTGAACAGGCTGACTCTGACATATGTAAATAAATGAAAGACGCCGGTGACTTCTAAGCAGCTTTGCTGTGTCATCTGGCAGGGATTTTTCAGCTCAGTATAGGGGTTTACTAAAGTTTGTTTTCCCTTGACTGGCAAGCCACCTGCTGCTTTGCCAGGCTTACTTCTAAACCTTTGTGGGATGTATGTGTGTGTGTGGGGGGGCATATGGTGGCTTTTCGCGTGCATCCGTCCATCCTCACCACAGTCTGTCCCCCCAGGCGATCCAGCACATCGAGGGTACCCAGGAAAGGCAGGAGCAGGAGGAGGAGCAGCGGCGAGCGGTCATCGTGAAGCCAGTGCGAAGCTGCCCGGAAGCCCAGGCCTCTGACACCGCCTCCGATTCAGAGGCCTCGGACAGCGATGCTATGGATCAGAGCCGGGAGGAGCTGGCAGGGACTGGGGGGCTTCCCTGACCACCCCCCAGCCCTCCTCTCCCTTCTGGGGGCTGGAGGGGGCCGGGGCAGCAACAGGGAGTACATCCAGGCCAGCGAGTGAGGAATTTTTACAAAATTATGACGTCATTTGGGTCTCTTTTATGACCTCTTTTTCAATACTGTAAATCAACCTTTGAGCAAAGGCCACCCAACCTGTGGCCCCTGGGGCTGGGGTGGTGGGAGTGTGTGGGAGCACCGGGACACCTGGGGCTGGGCCTCGCCCGGGAGGCTGGGGGAGCTAACACTGAGGTGCCTGGCCTCTCTCCGCCAAAAAAGCATTTTTTCATTTAAATATGTTTTTAAGAACAGGGAAAAATCAAACAAAACCCCACATATTTCTGCCCTCCCCAGAGCCAGCCCTATGACTGTCAGTTTTTAACTGCCTCCTTACCTCTTATTTTTTGGTTTTCTTCTTTCTCCTTTAAGCACTTACATGGGTTGGGGGTCTGGCTGGGTCAGGACTCTCTGGGGATCTGGGGTCGAAGTTCCTTCTCGGTTGGGGTTTGCTGCTGCCCTTTTGCCCTGCCCTCCCCTCCCCGCCCCATCTCAGCACTAGGATTCGCCACTCTCCACCACCAGCCGGCTCTCACTTTTCCCTCCAGGTTTCCCATCTTCGAACCCCAAAAATGTCTTTGTCTCTCTTTTTGTTTTGTTTGTTGTTGTTTTTTTTTTTTATAATTTTGAGGTCTTTGTGTTCATGGAGAGCTATTATATTTTGTTAAGAAAGTGGGGGGAAAAAACCAAGAGGCCACTGTGCCTTTATAAAGAAACAAAATAAAGTTTGTACTTTGTTTTTTAGATTCTGTGTCTCCTGGTACATGCTGTCCTGAGTTGCTGGGGAAGGCTTCCTGGACTAGAGTACAGGATGCCTTTTGGGCCCACCAGAGGGGACTGGATGTGGGTGAGCATGATGACTCCCCCAACCTGTGTGTGGTGTTGCAGTGAGAAATTAGGGTCCTCACATTCTCTGCGATTACTCGGGGTATTCTGCAAAGATCGGAAATGGTGTTGGGGGTGGGAGGAGTGGCTCCCATCTCCTTGATGGGGACTGGGGGGGTCAAGGAGAGAATGAATAACTAAACCACAGGTTCCTATCTCCTAGAGAAAGGACACAGGATATCCTAGTTGATCCCTAGGCTTTGCCACGTTTTCAGCTTGTGTAACCTACCTGAACCTCAGTCTTCTCATCTATAGAAGGGAAGGGAGCATTCCCTCATGATGTGTTTAAGAGCTAAGGTCCTGGAGTTGGGGTGGCAGTGGTCAGGCAGGTGGTCAGCTCCACCTTGGGCAAGCCACTCAATATTTGAGCCTCAGTTTCCTCTTATGAAAGGTGGGAATAATAATGGCACACGGATAATTCATCTTATGGGTGGGGGATGGGAGTGGTTCTTTAAAATCCTTCATCCTCCATGACCAGAGAGCACTTTATAATGTACCCTTCTGGGCCTGCTTTTCCCCATGCTCACTCTGTGCCAGGTACATGGGAACCAAGTCTAGAGTGAAATAGCCAATTCACTTCTTACCCTATAGTGAATGTCTCCAGACATGAAATTATTGAATAGAAAGGCAGTCAGGAGCCTGCAAATTTTTTTTTTTTTTTAGAACTTTTGTAACTTTTTTTAAAGGTGAAATTCACATAATAAAATTAACCATTTTAAAGGGAATGATTCCGTGGCATTTAGTATATTCACAGTGTGTGCAACCATCATCTCTATCTAGTTCCAAAATGTTCTCATCACTCCACTTATTAATCAGTCTCCCCATTCCTCCCTTCTCCCAGCCCCTGGAAACCACCAATCAGCATTCTGTTTTACAGCATTTAAAAAAAATTAAAAGTGTGATTTACATTCGGTAAAATTCACACTTCGTAGTTTTTGTTTGTGAGCTTTGACAAATGTCTACAGCTGTGTAACCACCACCACAATCGTAATGTGAATTTAGTTCCCTCATCTCCGGTGTTCCCTCATGTCCCTTTGTGGTCCATCCACCCAGCTCCTGGTAATCCCTTATCTATTCCTATAGGTTTGCCTCTTCCAAAATATCATAAATGGGATCATACAATATTTAGCCTTTTTTGAGTTTGGCTTCTTTCACTTAGCATTATAACTAATTTTCTCTCTTTTGGGGTATATCTAGCTAAACTTACATAAGTTAAATACGTGTCCGAGAGGAGAGGCTTAAATAGGATCTGGGTAGGACAAGGCCTGCGGAGCGACTCCTTTTGGGCAGGTGCAAGGAGGGCCCCACGGGCTCCATGCAGTTCCTAAAAAGATCAATAGAGAGCGCTGTGGGCCCAGGACATCTGGCCCTGCAGGGGCAGAGGCTCCGCCTCCCGATGCCTGCGGGACTTTAGTTCCTATAGGCCAGAGGCGGAGCTTGGGGTGGGGTCAAGGAAGTCCCCCCTCCCCCGACCTGCTGTGGCGAGCCCTGAGACCGTAGGCGGTCTCACCAACAGGCGGCGGGAGTCGGACGCAGCTCCGGGCCCCGCCCCTTCCCGGACTGGCCCCACCCCGCCTTGGCGCGCATGCTCTGGCTCCTCAGGCAGTCTCTCGCGCGCTCATCTGGCTCCGCCCCCGCGCCAGGCGTCCGCGCACTCACGCACGCCCCGCACGCAAACGCCTCAAACGTGCGGCTCCCGTGTGTCTCCCGCGCGGAGGCGCTCGCTCACTTCCGCAGCTTTTGGTTCTGCCACCCCTGGCTGCGACGCGCTGTGTGGCGCCAGGTGGTGCAGCAGGCACTCCCGCGCGGAAGTCCGGCCCACCGCACACGTGACTTAGGATGGTCTGGCGGCCGCGGTAGAAAAGGTGACTAATCTTAACATGTTTAATTAATTTCTACCCATGGTATCCGAAACATTGTCATTTCAGCACAGGCGAGGAAAGTAAGAAACTACAAAAGAAAATTTTTTTTCCTACCTAGCCCGAGGAGCTCTGGATGCGTCATGCTCAGGCCACACCTCTCAGGGGACGCCATGGTTCAGGGTGGGTGGCGTGGATCCAACCCTGGGGGCACAAGGGAGCCAGACCTGGTGGTCAGAAAGGGCACGGCCTGGGAGGAGGAAGAAGTGAGGAAGATGTCATGCCAAAACCTACTAAAGCCATGCTAAGAACCCTGGACTTTTATTTTTGTGAGAGGAACATGATCAACCCAACGTTCAACAAAACGCATTTTAAAAACCTTTTTTTTTTTAAGTACTTCTGTATAACACACACTCAGAAGAGTATTTTCTCAAATTGAATATACAACCATGTAGCCAGCACCCCACCAAGCCACTAAGTGGTTTGTTTTTTTAAACTGAAAAATTTTTGGAAATAATTATAGAAATGTACTGGACGGTCCTGTGCACCCTTCACTCAGCCTCCCCCAAACGTCTTGCATATCTAAATTACAACATGGAAACCAGGCAGTTGCTATTGGTGCAGTCCATGAGGCTTATTCAGATTTTACCAGTGTTACATGCGCTCACTTATGTTTTTACATAGTTCTGTACCATTTGCACCAGCACTGTGTGAGAATTTGAGTATTCTCTACATCCTCACCAGCACTTGATATTGTCAGATTATATATTTATTAGCCATTCTGGTAGGTGTACAGTGGAATCTCACTGTGGTTTTAATTTCTATCTTAATGGACTAGTTTTGTCTATTTCAGATGTTCATAAGAATCATACAGTATATCGTTAACCCTTGAACAACATGGGGGGGTTAGTGGCGCTGACCCTCCAAGCAGTCAAAATCCACGTATAACTTTTGACTCCTCGAAAAATTAACTATCGTCCCTTGATATTCTTGGGGGTTTGGTTTTAAGACACCCAGCAGATACCAAAATCCGAAGATGCCCAAGGCCTTTATATAAAATGCATACAAGTCGACTTCACACCCTCACATTCCCAATCTTGGATTGAATATACTTGGTTCAGTCCAAGGATGAGAAATCTGGGGGTATGGAGGGCCAATGGCATATTAAGGCCGACGGTATAGTTTAAAAATCTGTGTATAAGTGGACCTGCACAGTTAAAACCATGTTGTTCAACTATATATGGGGGATGCCAAAAAAATTTATACAAGTGGACACCGGTCAGCGTTGCTCAAATAGTAGTTCGCCTTAATCAGAAGTGTCTGGATGCTGATTGTAACCACTTTGAGCACCTCTTGTAATTGCAGAAGTCAAACATGACTTGTATTCATCTTTTGTTATTGATATATATTAAGTATTACAATTTTAACAGAGTTACCTTTCTTAAAATGTGTATACATTTTTTTGGCACCCTCTATACTCTTTGTCTGGCTTATTTTGCTCAACATAATGTCAGATTCATTTATGGTTTTTTTTGTTTGTTTATATCAGCAGTTTGTTCATTTTTATTGAACAAACTTAAGTATATTCCATTGTATGAATATACCACAGTTTGTTTAGCCATTCACCTAATGATAGACATTTAGGTTGTTTCCAATATGGCTGCTGGGAATGCATTTTAGTAGGCACTATCCCCGGAATAGATTGTGGCACTTCCACCTCTGCCACCAGTGTGTGAGGTGGTCAGGTGGCAGTGGAGGAGAAGATATATCCTAAGCATGTGGCCATTGACTGCCTTTGGTGGTGGTTTCTTTGAGAGGGGGCTGGGCATTCTTGTTTCTTGTGGCCTCCCTGCCCTATTTTAAAGGTCTCCCTTAGAGATAAACTTCATGGGAAATGTTTGCTCCCATGATCTCAAGGATGGTTACATTATACCATGTCCTCTTTAAGAAGAGCCTCAGAAGAAATTCCTGTCGAGTCTCAGTAGCAGAAATAATTTCGCTTCTCCCAAGCAGTTGGTTTGTTCTTATTTTAAGGACACTGAATTGGCAAGTGATCAAGTTACACACATGTGAGGGACTTAGTGTGTAGTGCCATTTGCTTTTGTATCAGCCTTGTGAATGTCTCCATTTTGGGTGCTTGCCTTTGTGTGGTTTTCTTCTACTGTTACTTCCAACTCTTGCTTTCTTACTGTACTTTATGAGTACTTGGAACCCATCTTTGAAATTTTGTGGCACAAGGGGTTATAAATAAATGCCCCTTGTATTATGATTTGGCAGCAGAGTAGTTGCCCCAGCTCTGTGAGATGTTTAAAGGGCTATCTAGTTGTGGAATGGGGGGCCTTCTTGTGACCTTGGCCTCCTTAGTGGTTGATTAACTGGCCTCAGACCAGTATATAAAGCACATGCAAATCCTCCAGCTGCATTTTGGAGCTGGCTGGCCATAAAGTCCTTAGCCTCAGATTTTGTTGGCTCTGGTCCCACCTTGTCCCACCTGAGTCTATCCATTGTCCCTTTATCCAGCTGCCCCTCTGTGCTTTCCTGGATGCTCCTGCCCCTGTGGCATTTGTCTTTTTCACTCTTGAATTCAGCTTGCCTTCTCATGCCCTACAATTTCTGGGCTAGGGTGGGCTTAGCACCACCCCCTGCCTTGGTCCCCTCTCTTTTCCTGCCCTGCTAAGTTGCAAGTTTCTTCTGTTGATTGACAAGAGCACGTGCTGACCCAGAGGAGGGGGGCTGCTGAGCAGAACCAACCCTAAGTCTCACAACTGTAGAAAGGAATGTGCTCCCAAACCTGCTCTCCCAAGCACACCCCTGGTGTTGAAAAGGAGCTAAGAGTGACAGCTGCAGAGTTTCCTGAGTTAGGGGGCCCAAGTCACAGGTCCCTCCTGGGTGGGTGCAGCCTGTCTTGGTGGACAGCCTCAAGATCAAATTAAAGAGGAAACAGGAAAGTGATTAGAGAAGGCTTTAGGTACTGCACATGTACCAGAGATTAGTTTGTTGAAACTTCTCTCACATTGTCTCACGCTGTGGAGCATACAAAGGATGCTCTGAAAATTTCCATTGCAAAGAGAACTGACAGAAATCTTCTGTTCTTTTGTAAGTAGAAGGAAATGTCAGTGGGTCTGGCTAGGCACTGGAGGTTAGTGGGGGGCTGCTTATTTGAGATCAAGGGAAAGGCGGTCTTCATTCCCC